ACAGGTACCAGAAGGAGTGGACCGATATATCCCATTTTTACAGCAGATCTTGTGTTTGTAGAAATAATGGGATGTGTGAAATATGAAGAGAACCGGATGCTTTTTTCGGATTTTATGATCGTTTTGGTTATTCAAAACTTTGACCCTTTGTGGGGGAGGTACCAGAAGAAATGCACCTAGCCTAGCACTGATGCAAATATTAAGATTTGCAAAGTTGAAGCAAAATCGGATTATCCTTTCTCTTTCTGTGCAGTAAATTATTTTCCTTGAAATTTTTGATATTTTTTGAGGAAGCTACCGAACGCGGTCTAAGTTTGATAATGATATTACCATGTACCAAGTTTGAATCAAATCGGATACTCCCTTCGAGAGTTATAGGGACGGACATCTCTAGATGGACTCCAATTGTCCTGAAACGAATTTGGCCCAAAGAGACCTAAGGTCTAAAGCTGATATTTTTATGAGGCACATTTTGGCCGTATCAAATGATATATACCCTCTCTAGCCATATGACTGAGGATATAAAAAGGGTAAGAAATTCGGGTCGATTCTCAAGTATTATTTTTCAAGTATAATGCCAATTCCAGGATAATTCTGCTTTCCCAATATGGATTTCAAGGGAATGATTTTGAAGAGTCTATCCATTGGTATTATGAAAAGGATAGAAAGTTCGGAAAGATTCCGAGGTATATGAACATTTAAAAGGTTAATTCCTTGGGACAATCAGCCTTACAGGACAATGTCAATGATCCATTATTGAAATCCTTGGGGATTTCAAGGAGAGTACTCTGTCAAAAATGATAGGAAATTGGAACTGATTCCGAGGATTATGGCCATTTTTTAAAGAAAGAAAACTATAATTTCGTTCCGGGATGTAGATGAGGAGATAAATTGTTCCATCTTTGTCTATCGATTTGTATGCCCATTTACTATTTAAATTTCACTCTGGTTTACTCTCTCTCCCCCTCCCTCCCTCTCTTTCTCTCTTTATTAACCTTTTCTGAACTCGAGTAAAATTCGCATGGTTTATGTCACGGCCTTATAAATATACGTTATAAATCTTCTAAGACACCTTTCGAGCTATGTAACTTCCTGCTTACCGACTTATGTATTCTCTCCTTATTTCGTACTAATTCCATAACCCTTTAGCAACGAAACATACTTCATATGCTACACAAATTGCATGCGATTTTATTTGAAAAAAAAAGCAAAACTATATCAAATATCTTTCCCAACACGTGTTGGCTAAGCCAACTTTGTCGTGCTTCTATCGGCAGTGATTAATCGCCAAAATGTCAATAATAAAAACGTCAGAATCATTGTAAATAATTAATTCCCGGAGACACTTGTTGCAGTGCCCACAAATGGTTTTAGATGCTTAAAAGCGATGGTGGCGGAACTTTTAGGTTATGCAAACGATTTAACTGCAAAACAATTCTAAGTTCAGTTGTGTGAGGAAGTTAGGAACGACTTAAACTAATATTGGACAGACCAAAATCTTTATGGCCGCATAATGCAGGAAATGTAAAACCTTGAAAATTTATGAATTGGAGGACCCCATTCCATGATTTTTCAAGAAAAATATATTTATTGGATGTAGTCTAGAATTTAGTTTTCCAAACTTAAGTAATAGTTAATTTTTTTTATTAAGTCATATAATCGTTCTATCCTGTCATTTATTAGAAATTTCTCTTATGGTCATTCCATCATTGTAAGTTAGACAGTTGGATAATGCACACATTAGCCTTGGAAAGAATTATCGATGCTCTACAAAACCTAGAGATCTTGTATCTTTATTAAGTCTTCCCAGCTTTGGGCATAATATCATTAACTACTCCATCTTCCAGCATCATATAATACTCTTTACCTGCACCTTCCGCTTTAATGCAATGAATAAAAAAGAATTATTATCTTTCTAAGCCATAACTAACCTAATGTTCAGCCCCTTTGGCAAACACTTAACAAGACATTTCTGTCGATTCATTTAACACCATTTAATCTCTAATCTCCGGCATCAAATCGATAAATTGTCTGGTTACTGGTTACGCCCTCCTGTTTACATTGTTCATAAATATGTTACAGAAACACACACCTTCTACAAATTACATAGAAATAAATATAAATTTAATTTCTAGTTGAACATGACTTGATTGGAAAATGCTAAGGAAGAGGAGGAGGATCACAAAAAAAAATTCCTAAGTATTTTTATTGAGAAGATCTAAAAATGTTAACCTTAAGATGCACAGATTTTATAAGAGAGAATCAATAGATCTTCTCTGAGAATATATAAATAGATCTCAGAGGAAATGAACAGATCACTGAGAGATTCAATCGACAAATTTCCTATCCACAGATCTTTTAAGACAATATTTAAAAATCTTCTGGGAAAAGATCTATATATCTTTGGGAGAAGGTCTACAGATCTTTTACAGCTTTTAATGTGAGAAGATCTACGAATCTTAACAGATCTTAAGTGAGAAGATCTACAGGCTTTCTATGAGGAGATCTACAGATCTCTTATGAGAATGCCTATAGATCTTCTATCAGGCTATCTATAGATCTTCCATGAGAAGATCTACAGATATTCTATGACAAGACCTATAGATCTTCTATGAGAAGATCTACAGATCTTCTAAGAGAAGATCTACAGATCTTTTATGAGAAGATCTACAAGTCTTCTATGAGAAGACCTACAGATCTTCTATGAAAAGACCTACAAATCTTCTGTGAGAGGCTCTTCTCATCTTCGTGAGAAAAGCTACTGATCTGCTATGAGAAGATCAATATATCTTCAGTGGGAAGGTGTGCAGATCTTCTGAGGAAGGATCTACAGGTCTTCGATGATAACGTCTACAGATCTTCTATAAGAAGATCTACAGATCTCCTAAAATAATAACTTCATACCTTCTCCCAAAAGATCTCTAGATCTTCTCATAGAAGATCTGCAGATCTCACAGAAGATCTGTGGTTCTTCCTATAGAAGATCTGTAGATCTTCTATAGAATATCTGTAGATCTTCTATAGTATATCTGTAGATCTTCTCATAGAATATCTGTATATCTCCTCATAGAATATCTGCAGATCTTCTCATATAAGATCTGAAGATCTTCTCATCGAAGATCTGTAGATCATCACCCAAAGATCTGTAGATCTTCTCATAGAAGATCTGTAGATCTTCTCATAGTAGATCTGTAGATCTTCTCATAAAAAATCTGTAGGTCCCCTCATGGAAGATCTGTAGAAAATAGACTCAAAAGTGCTAAAGAGTTGCTTCGCTTGGCCGAAAGTGGTGAACTGCCGAATTTGGTTTTCTCCGATGAGGAAACATTCATTGTCCTGCAGTTTGTAAACAAACAAAATTATCGTGTTTACTTGCGAAATAGGTCAGCTGAAAATGTGCACCTCCGGTTGCCCACCAGAACTTAAGCGCCGGCCATGGTAATGGTGTGTTCCGCGATAACAGCCGATGGTCGTTCTCCGCTCGTATCAGAATAAATGCCGAATATTAGGACGAAAAAATTCTTGAGGGTGTATTAAAGCATTTTGGCCGCAGACCTTGAACATTCCGACATTCATTTGCAGCGCACAATGACCACCAAAATCTCCGTTGGACTATTCTCCATCCGTTGGACTATTGTGTCTGGAGTATTTTGGAAAGCAAGTTTGGCACTAAAAAATACAAAAGTGTCGATCACCTCAAGCAATCGCTTCGCCGGGAAGGGGCCAAAATACCGCAGAGTACATTCGGGCAACGTGTGACGATTTCATTGACCGTTTGAAGACCATAATTCGTGCCAAAGGTGAACAATTCGAACAAATTTAAACTTATTCTAAAATTTTATGCTATTTCCGATATTTTTGGCCTTCGTTCAATAAAATTTAGAAAAAAAATAAAAATTATGGCGTATGACTTTGTTGCAGTTTTTTATCTCACCCTGTAGGATGCCTACAGTGCCAAGAAGATGCTGGAGGGTGTTGGAGGATTTCCATGTATAGAAGATTTACAGAAGGTATTCTTCCTATTTGTGTTTTTGGGCATGGAGGACCTTGGAATGATCTCCTATTTATACAAGACCTTTAGAGTTGTTTATGTGAATGGTTGGCAATGAAATAAAATACATATCCATTGAAAGATCCCCATTCCACCGCTTTTCCATATAGAAAATCTTCTAGGAATATGTTGTCTGCAAAAAAAAAAAAATCTTTCAAGGACTTCCATATGCAGAATCCATAGAATTTCAATTTCTCTCTCCAAATCTCCACTCTATGTCATTAACATCATTTGTCTGTGCTCTGTCTGGTCGGTATTTCTATTGAAAATCTCCGTCCATCAAATACAAAAAAAGAAATAAAGTAAGACAATTTGCCTCAAGTGGTGAGTGGGCGATAACGAATTAGCCGGTCTGCCTTAACGCATTGCCAGACAGTTTAATTAAAGATGCCGGCTCATTTAGAAAATTTTTGCAATTTGTTGGTGAAAAATATATGAACGCAATGACAAATTTGTGAAAATTTAAGACTGTGGGAAAATTCTCAATGCAGCGGCTATGCAATTGCTTCTGTAGCATCGAAGTGGTTTGGGGTTTCTTTTGTGTGTGAAATTTCAAATCTTGATTTTTTTCTGACTCGGCACATGTATTTCAAGGAATATTGACGTGGGAGGGCGAGAGGATCTTATTAATTTATCCTAGGAAAATTTGAAGTGGGCGTTTTGCTGCAATCGAAGGACCAATTAATTCTCAATTAAACAATTTTGAAATTTTCTTTAAATTTCTAGTGCTTGGTTCCCTGGGGTTTTCTTCTTCCACGCCCTTGTTTGCCTCATACCACTTCTGTTTCACATTATTTCAATCATTTGCTTTTTATTTACATTAAATATTTTTGTGAAATTGTTCCGAGCAATTTCCTCTATTCTCATAGACAATATTTTTGTATAGAAAATCTTATTTTTTGATTTTAATTTGATTTCTTTTTTTCCCTCTCTCTCTCTATCATTGCAGCAGTTCCTTTCTAAAAATATATCAACGGCTACAAAAAAATCAACAACAACAAAATTTTTGTTTGTGATTTAGCAGCAACAAAGATTCAATTTGAAATTACAAAACACTTGCACGACTACTACGTCAATCACGGCAACGTTCAAATTCCGCGGTGACCATGTGGCCAGCCAGCCAGCTAAACTAGACGTGAAATTCGAAGGAAGGAGCCAAACCAAAGCCCTTTTTCGCTGAGTGTAATGCAAAAATAAAATATGATGAGAATTTCAAACAAAGAAAAATCTCGATAATGGATGAACCATAATCGCCGAGATTCTTGAAATGATCTAAATCGAAAGAAAGAAAAAAATAAAATCTGAAATCTGAAAATTTGAAAACATTTTGTGACATTTTAAAGAAAAAAAAAAAAAAAGGAAAGAAATACTCATTTTTGATTTTTTTTATCCAAATCAATCTAGTCTCAGTCCCGATTGAGATACAAAAAGTGTAGAGTGCGCGCTCCAATCTCAGTTTTTCGTTGAAGTTGAACTTTCACTTCCCGTCTCGTCTCGTTTCGTTTTTCCAGCACCTCGTTGCCCCACCCAACATTTTGAATGGTTTCTGAGGACAGCAACTGGCACAGCAGCGACACCATGTCCGACACGGACATGCACGATTCGAAGAATGACATTTGCGGTGGTGCTTCCAGCTCCAGCGGCAGCTCTGGCACCCCACGAACCAAACCGAATTGTGCCCGCTGCCACAACCATGGCCTGAAGATCAAATTGAAGGGCCACAAACGTTACTGCAAATATCGCTTTTGCAATTGTGAGAAATGCCGCCTGACAGCCGATCGGCAGCGGGTCATGGCCCTGCAGACGGCCCTGAGGCGGGCCCAGCAACAGGACGAGGCAAGGATCCTGCAAATGCATGAAGTGCCACCGGTGGTGCATCCACCCACGGCATTGCTGAATGCCCATCACCATCATCATCATCCGTTGCCGCATCACATAACGCAACAGCTGCACCACCATCCCCATCATCCACATCCGCATTTGGTGGATGCCTCTGCAGTGGCGGCAGCCGCTGCTGCAGGAGTTGGTGTTGGCCCGGTACCCCCGCATCATATTGCTGCTGCTGCTATACCTACAATACGTTCACCGCCGCACAGTGATCACAGCGCCAACGGTGGAGGTGGTGGCGGCGGAGGAGGAGGAGGTGGTGGTGGTAGCGGATCAGGTGGAGGCGGTGGTGGATCTGCTGGTGGTGGTTCAAATGGTGGTGGCGGTGGCGTTGGTCCCAGTTCCTCCAGCATGAACGGCATGGCCAGCAGCAGTAGTGCTGCATCTAGTTCCACAGCACCACCACACCACACCCCACCGGATCACACACATCATCACCACCATCATCATCATCCACATCCCCATTTAGTTTCGGTGCCACCGACCGCACAATCTGTCGATAGTTCGTGTGATTCATCGTCACCGTCGCCGTCCTCAACGTCGGGTGTGGCCGTACCGGTATTGGTACCGAATCGAAAGCCAAATCCAGAGCAACAACAGAATGGTGCTGATATGTCTATAGGTAAGTCTTTTTGAGAAAAGTTATTTATACACATTTATTCATAAAATATGGGGTGAATGAATATATATCCTGGGAGGCACAGAGGGGTTGGGAAGAGTGAAACAATTTTGAACATTTTCGTGGATATATCCTGAAGAAAATGGGGGCTAATTTACCCATGACGAAAAACGTGAATGCGAAAAATTCCATTCCAAATAGGATTTCCAATATTTGATTTAATTAAAAAATTTAAACTTCGCCATGGAGGAACAGGCCCAATATCTCTGAAATTGAGCCTGAGGAAAAAATAGCTCCGTCTGATTTCCAAAAATGTAAAGTTTATGCTCAATACGGAAAAAGAAAAATGTCAAGGATATCTTTGTACTGCGGAATCTGACAGAAGATAAATCTGTCATTGAGAGGTGCCTAACGTCGAACACTGCAGACTGTGTGTGGATGAGCAAGAGAACGATTGAACAATTTTTATGCAACTGTCCTGTTCTGTCAAGGGAAAAACTACGAGCTAGGGGGCTCTTGTCCAAATATTTCTGCCTGAAATTCGTCTTTATTGAATCTCTAGCCTACAGACTCTCCGCCCCTTCAGCTCTTTTTAAAAAACCCAGGCTAACCAAGACCCTCGTACAAAATGTCAAGATTCTCAATCTGACTGACTGACTCACTGAGAATTAACTTCCAGGTGAAACGGCTGATGTTAGAATCTTGACATTTTGCACGAGGGTCTTGGCGCTTGGGCTCGAAAAGTACTAAATGGTACAAAATTTAGTATTGGGTAAAGGGCTGGAATCCCGAAATTTGATATTGAGGATTCTCTTGGTATCTGTTATTAAGATATTGAGGTGGTTTTGGAAATGTGTACTATAATTGTACGAAAAAGTACTAAATGGTACTAAATTGTCTATGGCTGAGAGACGGAGCTAGTTTTGTTATAATTAACTCCCAGGCTTAGAATACAGCTACATAGATTCGGCTTATAGATAGAGTATTCGGCTATTTAATTCCTTTACATTAGCTGCCTTGTAGTAACTTCGTCTATTTTGACACCCTGACCCACAGAACGTTGGTATATTTCTTCCTGGCCTAATCGTCGTGCTTCTCCTCGCCTGCATAGACTTTCCGTCCTTTCAACTCTTCTGTATATATCCCCTAACCTTCAGTTCGTATATATGGATTCGTTGGCCTGTTTATATACATTTCTTGACCCTTCAACCCATCTTTTTGAACTCACTGGCCTATAGTTCGCCAACAAAGGCCCTTCAGCCTTTAGCTCTTCTATATAGATTCCCCAACCTTAAATTTGTGTTAATTGACTTCCTGGCCTCCAATTCCTACAAAGTGACTCCCTGGTATTATCCTCGTCTGTATTGATTTGGGTAGTCTGCATAGACTTCGTTTGTCGACATTTCTTACATCGCCTTCAATTCGTCTACATTGACGTCCTGTCCCACAGCACGCCCAGGCATTTTCCCCTCTTATTAGCGCTTTATTTTATCTGTACAGACTTTACGGCCCTTCAATTCTTTAGTATACATAATCCGACCTTCAGTTCGTCTATATTGACTTGTTGTCCTACAACCTGTTTGTATGGATTCCTTGGTCCTTCAAATCATCTTTTTAGATTCACTGACCTATAGTTGGTCTGCGAAAGCGCTCCAGCCCTTTAGCTCTTCGGGAATTTGAATTCCCATCCTAAAGTTCGTCTAAATTGGATTCTTGGCTTACAATTCGTATTAGTTGACTCCCGGGTATTGTGCTCGTCTATACAGATTTGGGTGGTCTGTACAGTCTTCGCCGCCCTTCAGGGGCTGTATCTTTCCGGTATAAACTCTCTGGCCTTATGCTTTCCTAAATATTACTTTACCTTGCTTACACAGATTTTCCGGCTCTTCTACGCTTTCAGTTCGCCTATTTGCACTGCTTCTATAAATCTGCCCGCCCTTCTGCTCGATTTAAAAAATGTATTCTTTTGTCCAAGTTCGGCAATTGGTCCTTTATCACAGGAAACAATCACGGCGTCTTCTAACTAAAGGAACCATCAAAGGGACTTTTATAACGAAAGATTTTTTGGAAGTCTTCAAGAGACATTCTATTCTTAAACCATATTTTCGAAATATCTTCCAAAAAGGGAAGACCTTCATGTTGTATCATGTCATATTCCCAAAGGTCTAATAATAAAGGAGCCTTCTGCTTTCAGTTTGCCTATTTTTACTATCTCTTTAAATTCCCCCGCCCTTCGGTTCTGTTTGTTTCCCTTTTGTTTCGGCTCTGTTTTTAAAAAATTCTCTTTTGTAGAATGCGTGCATTTGACCCTTTATAACAAGAGATCTTCACGGGGTCTTCAAGCAATAAAGCCCTTTAAGAGAACTTTTATAACAAAAGACTTTTGGGAGATCTTAAAAATATATATTCTACCCCAAACGTACCTTCGCAATATCTTATACAAAAGAAGACCTTTAAGTTATATCATCATTCGCCCAGAAGTCTTTACGAATATGCTTATAAAAAAAACCCTCTATATCCTACATCTACGAACAGCAGGGGCGCTTAAAGGGAGAACAATTTTTGCACATGATTTGCACTTTCTGGTAGAAAAACTAATTCTTTAGTTCACTGAGTTCTCCCCCACACGATTTGCTGTGTATGCAGTTTTCCACAGTTTCCACAGTTTCATCTCTCTATATACCTCTAAAAGACCTGCTCATCCGTCTTTAACTTCTGTGAACCCCCCTCATATTGTAATTTTCTAAAATCAACCTCCTTCTGCCAAGCAAAATTCTCAAAGACGATTCTCTTTTGGACATAAAAATTCTCTTCATCAAATAATGATCCAGCCCATTTAATGGGTAATATATATAATTTTGAATTACACCCTGTAATAATAGCCGAGATACCAGAACAAATGGAAAATGTTCCATTTCAGTCGTTCTCTTAGAATCGCCCACCCAATTGTGGTCATGTTCGTAACGCCTTTTGCATCAGCAGCAGAAGAAGAAGACCAAAGAAAAAAAATGGTAGTGTGTTTTTCATTAAAAGTATCTGTTCAAGGTATTATTTGCCAATATCAGTCAGCCAACAAGTCAGCCTGCTAGCTAGCTGGCTGGCCAGGTTATGTAGCTCTCTAGCCAAGCAGCCATTCCGGCAACAGCATTTATGCCAGTCAGCCGGCCAACCAATCATTGTCAACATTGGAACATTGTAGTCTTTCCTCGTCTTAGTGTTCTACAACATGTTTGGCATTGTCTTGGCAATTTGTCTGTGTTTGTTAACATGGCCAAGAAAAGAACAAAAGATAAACGAAGAACAAAAATTAAAATTTATGAATTTCTTAAATTACCAGATATGGTTTTGTTGTTGTAATCTTGCATGTAATATTACGAATTTTATATGTTTTTTAGATATGTGTGTTGTATGACAAATGAATATTAAAAAAAAAAAATCTGTAAACCGGACAATATTGTAGGGAACATGGGCCTGAGAGGTACGGCTATATGAGACCCTCATCATAGAATATTAAAAAATTGGACCTGAGAATTGAGAAGCTATTTGGAGTTTTGATATTCTGACCTAATACCATCACCAGTATTTGAAATTGGTATAAAATTAGTATGAAACATATTAAAAAGCAATAAGTTCGACTGGGCCGAACTTTGAATACCATCCACCATTTGAAACGAATTCGGAAATAAAATACTTAAAAAAGTCTGTTAAAATTTTAAAAATACCTAATATAGCTGTGATATTGGGGTCTATACGACGTCATTACCAAATTCAAATTCGGTGAATAATGTAGCTAAAATCATAGAGAGGTACCGTTATATCGGAGCTAAAATCATAGGGAGGTACCATTATATCGGAGCTGTGCGAAGACCTGGACCAGCATAGACAATTTTCTGTCATAGGCTGTAGCATCCATTACGAACTTTAAATTTGACATCTCAAACAATTTCGGTGAGTATTGTACCTAAACTCGTCAAAATACCGAATATAGGGAGGTACTACTACATTGAGCCTATACAAAGACCTGGACCTGCAGAGACAATTTTCTGTCACAGACTGTAGTTTCCATTAATTGAAATGCGTAATTTGAAACAATTCCGGTGAATAATGGCGATAAAATCACAAAAATACCGAATATGGGGAGGTACCGTTATACGGGGGCAATACGAAGACGTGGACCTGCACAGACAATTTTCTGTCATAGGCTGTAGTATCCACTACGAACATCAAATACCAAATTTGAAAGAATTCCGGTGAGTAATGTCGTTAAAATCAACAAAATACCGAACATCGGCTATTTATATAGGTACCGTTATATTGGGGCTATACAAAGACTTGAATATGCACAGACAATTTTCTGTCATAGGCTGTAGTATCCATTACGAAGTTCAAATACCATATATGAAACAATTCCGGTGAGAGGTACGGCCATATGAGACCTACATCATGAAACATAAAAAATTGGACCTGAGAATTGAGAAGCTATTTGGAGTTTTCATATTCTGACCTAATGCCATCACCAGCATTTGGAATTGTCCCATATAAGTATGAAAAATGTCTTTACATCGGGGTATAACCTCGTTTTGGTATAGCCCCCATACTATACCAAAACGAGGACCGCCATGACCCATATTTTGTACAATTGATTCTACATGTAAGCCAAAGGCCTGTATCAAACTTTACAGCTCTCACCTCTACTTGGAATTTCCCATCCCCCAGACCATGACCCGAACATTCTCACACAGATACGTTTATGAGCATTTTTTGAGCTTATGAGCATTTTTTGAGGAATAATTTTACCGAAAGTTTTAAGTCACCAGCAAGTCACCAAATGTCTCTTTTTAGTCCTTTTTTTCCAAACATGGTTAAGAACTCCTATAGCAAGCAAAAATATTTTGCAAAATTATTTTTCATAAAATTCTATTATAGGTATATAGGTAGGAAGACATCAAAAGTTTAAATCTTACATAAAAGTCAGAAATTCGTATACAGGGTGAGATGAAAAA